AGAAAGTCCAGCGGAGGGCAATGAAAATGGTGTGGGGCTGGGACACATGACTTTTGAGAAGAGGCTGAGGGAACTGGGCTTATTTAGTCTGGAGAAGAGAAGACTGAGGTGGGATTTAATAGCAGCCTTCAGCTACCTGAAGGAATTTACCAAAGAGGATGGAGCTAGACTGGGGGTGGGCAAAATGGCAGATCTGGTCAATGTCCAGACTCCATTTCCCAGCAGCCCCTTCCCACATTGCTCCCTGGTTTTCATGGAAACCCCAGGAGTGGTGGCATCATGACAGCACTGGGCCTTGGTTTCCATGGAGACCAGCCCAGCAGCACTGGCAAGGCGCACAGCAGGGCAGAGAGTCGCTCCGAGGCCGGGGCTGGGATTTTGCAGTGGTGACAGCGTGGTCCAGATCCAGGGCAGAGCTGGGATCTGCTGGCTGCACGCCCCCTCCCTAGGCTGTGAAGGTAGCGGATCAGAGATCTGCCCCAGCTTCCCACCCCACTGTCCCCCTTGCAAGAGCCCCGCCCTGGGGTCTCCATGGAAACCAGAGGCAGGGACACAGGCAGGGGCTGCTGGGAAATGGAGTCTACCACAGGTCCAGTCTAGCCCATGGGCCAGACTTTGCCCAACCCTGAGCTAGACTGTTCTCAGTGGTGGCAGACGACAGAACAAGGAGCAACGGTCTCTAGTTGCAGCAAGAGAAGTTTAGGTTAGATATTAGGAAAAACTTTTTCACTAGAAGGGTAGTAAAATACTGGATACCCAAAGAGGTTGTGGAATCTCCATCCTTTTTAAGACCCGGCTACACAAAGCCTTGCATAGGATGATACAGTTGAGGATGGTTCTGCAGACAGTTAGACTAGATGACCTCCTGAGGCTCCTTCCAGCCCTAATTTTCTATGATGCCACCCCAAGGGGACTGCAGTCTCCTGCCCCAGGATTCCCCTCCCCTCACAGGACCCTGATGGTCCCCCCTCTCATTTTCCAGTCCTCAGGGCCCAAACCACTTCAGGGTTAGAGGATTAAAAAGACAGTAATATTTGACCCCAGATGAGATGCTAGCTAGTATCATGGGCTTGCCCTCAGGAAACATATCTCCGCAGAGCAAGAGCATCAGATACTGGCTGCCATTTAAAAACAGGGCCAGCCCTGTTTTGTCTAGTGTTTCCCCAACTTGGTGTTAGTTCCATTTAGTTATGAGTCATTCTGGTTTTGTCTTGGCTCTACCCTACTGGCTTCTTTATCCTACCAGTTGACTGATCACCCTCAACATGGGAAGGTGACTGGTGGAGTAGGAACAGTACTGTTCTTGTTTAGATTTGAGGTTGAGTGTTTTAAGTCTTGCCTGAGTGCCAGCTGGTTCACTAAAACAGTTTGTTAAACTGTTCAACAGCACCTTCAAATGAACAACTCAAAGATAGCAGCAGTTCTCAATCTACTTTTAGCTTCAAGGTACGCCCTCCTCACTCTCAAGGCACTGCCTAGGGGCCTTGAGACAAAGCCAGCTCATAGTTTTCCCTTGTTTTTTTTGACTACAGAAAAATAATTGAACAATTCTTTTGTTACAGACAACTCCAAAAGACCACAATAGATTTCATAGATTTCTGGAGTCAGAAGGGACCTGGTAGATCATTGGGTCTGACCCCCTGGTCCAGGCAGGAAAAAGCGCTGGAGTTGGGTAACCCCAGCCAGACGCCTGTCTAATCTCCTCTTGAACATCTCCAATGTAGGGGAAAGCACCACCTCCCTTGGAAGCCCATTCCATGTTTTGGCAACCCTCACCGTAAAGAATTTCTTCCTTATGTCCAATCTAAATCTGTTCTTCAGTTTGTGGCCATTATTTCTGGTAACCCCGAGGGGTGCCCTGGTAAACAGAGTGTCCCCTATTCCCTGCTGCCCCCCCACCGATAAGTTTGTAGGCAGCCACAAGATCACTCAGCCTTCTCTTGTGGAGGCTGAAAAGATTCAGATCCCTCAGTCTGTCTTCATAGGGTCTTACCTGCAGGCCCTCAACCATACGAGTAGCCCACCTCTGAACCCTCTCAAGGTTATCCACATCTCTCTTGAAGTGCGGTGCCCAAAACTGGATGCAGTACTCCATCTGCAGCCTCACCAATGCCACATAGAAGGGAATTATCACTTCCCTAGACCTGCTTGTGATACTCCTGCTGATGCAAGAAAGAGTGCAGTTAGCCTTGCTTATTACCTCATCACACTGGTGACTCGTGTTAATTTTTGTGTCAACCAGGACTCCAAGATCTCTTTCCACTGTTGTGGTACTCAGAATGGTACCCCCAGTCTATAGGTGTGTTGGAGATTCTTTCTCCCCAGGTGCAACACCTTGCATTTATCCTTGTTGAATTGGATCCTATTCTGATCTGCCCACTCCCCCTGTCTGTCCAAATCTGCCTGAATTCATGCCCTGCCCTCCAGTGTGTTTACTATGCCCCATAGTTTAGTGTCATCTGTGAATTTGAACAAAGTGCTTTCAACACTTTCATCCAAATTGCTGATGAAGATCTTAAACAGTACTGGTCCAAGGACAGAGCCTTGGGGGGCACCACTGCCCACATCCCTCCAGGGAGAAACCGCCCCAATGGGCAGAATGTTTTTATCAATTCCTAATTGAAATAATCTTGTGAATTGTGTTTACATACATAACAGTGCTGACATTGCATGGCAACCTGTGGCACTCTTGAAAAGATCACATGGGCATGCTGGGTGAGAATCGCTGTAATCCAGGTGTCACGCCCTGTAGGCATCACACCCTGTGTTTTAACAACATGAGTAATACTTCAACACTTGTTTTCATTCAATATAGATATGTTACCTTCATGATTAATTTTTTGCCCATATATCTCCCTGTATACTTACTCACTAGAACAGGGGTTGTCAACTGGGGGTGCGCATACCCCGGGGGGTACTTGAGAAGGCCCTAGGGGGTACGTGTGGGTGGGTTGGGGTGAAGTGCTGCCACGCACCATCCCGCAGGCACAGCTGACCCGAGCAGGGTGTGGGGCCTGGGGCAAATCAGCCCATGAGGGGCCTCACCTCTGCTCCAATCCCACAGGCCCTGGACCCAAAGAAGCTGCTGCCACCATTGGTGGTGGTGGTGGCGTAGCGAGCAGATGGACACAGAGCTGCTGCTGTTCTGCCCAGCTTTGCAGGGCCCCCCAAAGCGTGGGGCCTGGGGCAGTCTCTCTGATTCACTGCCCCCCAGGGATGGCCCTGCCCACAGGGATGGAGCACCACCACACACCATTCCAGTGTACTCCTGGCGGCTGGACGGGGGGAGCAGGAGAAGCTTACACGCTGCAGCTGCTGTGCCACGTGCCACCCCTCCACCCCCGCCCCATTTTGTGTCCAGTCACCGGGGGTACACTGATCCAAAAAGTTTGAAAACGCTTGAATTAGAACATTACCTTCCTTTAATCCCAGTTGTAAAGAAACTAAGAGTTAAAAACATCACTATATTCTTGTACCTTTAATCGTTTTGATATTGAGGCATTTTTCTTAGTAATACTGCCACACTTCTTGTTCTTTTTCCCCACTGAGGTAGAAAATTTGCTTTACTTTAATGTTCTTATCTCTATCCCTTGTGGTAAGCTTTGTTCCTAGAGTTAACTTGCATTCCCATGCTTCCATGCTTGTATAATTTTGGGTTTTGGATGGGGAGGTTCTCTCTGGAAGTCCAGTCATCTGAGTCCCTCGAGATTTCCTATTTCCTGTTCCAGCTGTTCACAGGATTGATTTGTGTCCACACTGCTTTCATGCTTGTACAGGTTTTTTGGTTCTTTCTGAAGATCTGAACACCATGTTTTCCAGTAATCCGAGTTGCTCCAGGATTCCTGTCTGCTGTTTTCAGGTATTGCTTTGTTTTCCTGTTAAT